AATTTACTACAAACAACAGATTTCATGACCTTGTCATTTCACACTCTTCTACAGGCTTTCAAATTAAAATCCAGCTTCAGAGCCAAGTACAACTCCAGCAATCCTGGTATACAGCCAAACTTTAAATAGTGATATTATGTAACTATTAAGTGTATTGTAACATCTGTGAATAATCTTGTTGCATTCTGACAAGCTGGTTACTCTCTTACAAATCTGTATTACAAATAAATGAGCAGCAACTGATGCATATATTCTATATCTGTAACACAGTACCCTTGCTATTGCCAATTCCGTAAGGAAAAGGGAACAGTTCTGAAGGAAATGGCACGTTATAAATAATTAATAAGTTACTTTGTATCTAAGCACCTAACTCTGTTTTAAAAGCATAATGGAATTCTAAACCGAGGAAAAAACGATGAAACTTGCTCAAGTTTTTTATGTATTAAATGTCAGCTGTTGCACATGAACTGTGGAACTGAAAGTGGGGGAAGTAGCAGCTACTTTAACTATTCCATTATTTAGTATGCTTTGGTGGATAACTGATGTGGTGGAGTAATTATATTTAGAATTTATAATGTATTTTGTACTTTTTCAAGATGTATTCAGCTAACTCTCACCAGAATGACATGGATTTGTTAATTAAGTCACTGTTATCCTTGTTTTAAAATGAGAGTTTAGCTGTGGGTATTTGGAGCTGTTAGTCACAAACTGAATGCAGGAAAATCAAGATTAGAATAGGATTTTTTTTTCCTGTCTCTCTTGTAATCAACTTGACATTCTTGCCTGTCTAGAACATTTTGTATTTAAATTTTAATCCAATTTGTGTTGGAAAAAGGTAGACTCACATTCTGGTAGAAGAGTAGTAAAAGTATAATTTTTATAGAAGTATAAGAGGTTTTATTGGCTTCCTCTGTGGAATTTTACACTGTGTGCTTATATTCCAAGCCCCTTTTAACTTAAGACATCTATTTCTGTCCTGGTTGCTCCAAATAGGACTATTGTCCTTCCTTGCATCTATTTCTGGCCAATTGCTTGAATGTAACCTTGCATTACTTGAGACATGTTTCTTTAAAGGCAGAATTTGCATTTGTATGTTTCTATGCATTGGCTTTTTCTTAGGGATGTTTTTCCTGTCTCTCTTGTAATCAACTTGACATTCTTGCCTGTCTAGAACATTTTGTATTTAAATTTTAATCCAATTTGTGTTGGAAAAAGGTAGACTCACATTCTGGTAGAAGAGTAGTAAAAGTATAATTTTTATAGAAGTATAAGAGGTTTTATTGGCTTCCTCTGTGGAATTTTACACTGTGTGCTTATATTCCAAGCCCCTTTTAACTTAAGACATCTATTTCTGTCCTGGTTGCTCCAAATAGGACTGTTGTCCTTCTTGCATCTATTTCTGGCCAATTGCTTGAATGTAACCTTGCATTACTTGAGACATGTTTCTTTAAAGGCAGAATTTGCATTTGTATGTTTCTATGCATTGGCTTTTTCTTAGGGATGTCACATTAGACATGAGAATAAACTTTCCATACTCACTGATGGGGTTAGAGAAAGTTCAAAATTATAATAAGCTTGCAGAATAGATTAAGTTCTTACCTTCTAAGCAGCAGTTTGTTTGTTGTTTGATTTTTTTTATTATTATTTTTTTTTTTAACTCAAGTTTCCTTTTGGGCAGAAAATTGCACCAAGGTAACTGTGCTTGGACTCTCAAATAACTGTCAAAACTACATGGTGGAGTGCTCCAGCTGATGAGTTTTGCTCCTTGTGGATACCATTCAGGTCTTCAGTGGCTTAGGAAATGTATGAATTCTGGACAATCTAACACCATGAAATCCCTCCCTGGGACTTCTCCCTGGTGCAGGCAGTAAATGTAAGTATAAACAGAGCAAGATAGGCAGAAACACAGGAAGCTGGGAGTTTAGTTGACAGCTGTGCTGCAAGCACTGTGACTTGCTGTGTACCTCTTGAAGTTTGGACTGACAGGTCTATAGAGTCGAAGGCATTTTTTGTTTGGAAAGGTGGTGGTGGCATTTCCTCAGGGGCAGGCAGCTTCGGCAGCCCCTCCTGCTCTTGATGAGCTAAGCAGGTAGTGGAATGAACCAGACCCTTTGGATGTTCTGCTGTTGAAACCAGAACCACTCCAGCACAGCACTGTGTGTGAGGAGCAGATTGCCCCCCTGCGTTGCAGGTTTACTCGACAGGTAGCACTTGATACACTTCGATTTTCGTCACTTAACTCCGTGTGCTTCCTTTGAGCAAGGTGACGCTGCGGGTGGCTCCGGACCCAAAGCGTGTCCTTTACATCTGCTGCGCCCTGCGTGGGGAGCTGCAGCTGAGCTGCTGGCGTGCTGCCTTCCCCTTCTGTGGGGAAAATGTACCACAGGCTCCATGCCAGCTCCCCTCCACAGCTGCCTGTCGCCTGCTCTCCCTCCCCTCAGGCCCGGTCTCTCCCTCCCCTCAGGCCCGGTCTCTCCCTCCCCTCAGGCCCGGTCTCTCCCTCCCCTCAGGCCCGGTCTCTCCCTCCCCTCAGGCCCGGTCTCTCCCTCCCCTCAGGCCCGGTCTCTCCCTCCCCTCAGGCCCGGTCTCTCCCTCCCCTCAGGCCCGGTCTCTCCCTCCCCTCAGGCCCGGTCTCTCCCTCCCCTCAGGCCCGGTCTCTCCCTCCCCTCAGGCCCGGTCTCTCCCTCCCCTCAGGCCCGGTCTCTCCCTCCCCTCAGGCCCGGTCTCTCCCTCCCCTCAGGCCCGGTCTCTCCCTCCCCTCAGGCCCGGTCTCTCCCTCCCCTCAGGCCCGGTCTCTCCCTCCCCTCAGGCCCGGTCTCTCCCTCCCCTCAGGCCCGGTCTCTCCCTCCCCTCAGGCCCGGTCTCTCCCTCCCCTCAGGCCCGGTCTCTCCCTCCCCTCAGGCCCGGTCTCTCCCTCCCCTCAGGCCCGGTCTCTCCCTCCCCTCAGGCCCGGTCTCTCCCTCCCCTCAGGCCCGGTCTCTCCCTCCCCTCAGGCCCGGTCTCTCCCTCCCCTCAGGCCCGGTCTCTCCCTCCCCTCAGGCCCGGTCTCTCCCTCCCCTCAGGCCCGGTCTCTCCCTCCCCTCAGGCCCGGTCTCTCCCTCCCCTCAGGCCCGGTCTCTCCCTCCCCTCAGGCCCGGTCTCTCCCTCCCCTCAGGCCCGGTCTCTCCCTCCCCTCAGGCCCGGTCTCTCCCTCCCCTCAGGCCCGGTCTCTCCCTCCCCTCAGGCCCGGTCTCTCCCTCCCCTCAGGCCCGGTCTCTCCCTCCCCTCAGGCCCGGTCTCTCCCTCCCCTCAGGCCCGGTCTCTCCCTCCCCTCAGGCCCGGTCTCTCCCTCCCCTCAGGCCCGGTCTCTCCCTCCCCTCAGGCCCGGTCTAGCCGCCGGAGGTGCCGCGTCAAGCGGCGGGGAGGGGGCAGCGCTCCCCGTCTCCGCCCGTGCGGGGTGTGTGCGGGGCCTGCGGGGACGGGCCCGCCCCAAGTCCCCGCCCTGTGCTCGTGGTCTGGCCGGACTCTTTCCGAGAACCTCTGCGTGTGTCGGTTTGAAGCGGGGCGGGAAGGTTTGCAAGCAGTGAGCGGGGAATACCATGGAATGGCTGGCCTGGCTGCGAAGGAGGCATGTCCCGAACTGGCAGGCTGCGGTGTCACCGCGCTGTAAACCCAGCGCGCACGGAGCCAGCTGCTGGTTCGCTGAGCACTTTGTGGTGGCTGAAAGATCAGGCTGTCGTCTGGCTTCTTCCTTTTTTTCGTAACACTTATCCACTCAGTAACATGTTTTTCTGAAGGTGCTTAGCCCTGAACATTTCAGCCTGAGTGTGCAACTTGAAAGGTGAAGAAGTAGACTTGGAGTAACTCAAGTGCATTGTCAAGGGAATACCTGGCTTAATGGAGAGAAACTGTCTTTCTAATGATGTTAGTGATCAGAAAGCTGGGTTCTCATTAGTAGGTCAGAGCACTGACAGCTGTTGCTTCTGACCCTGGGGAAAGGGAGTTTAAATAGAACAGTTATAGAGTGGAAGAAGAAAGCTTGCGTGCTGGGAGTGTGTTTTAATCCCCCCTACTATTTTTTGCAAGGAGTAATTAAAAGGTTGAATAATCAAGGTCTGGAACCCTCAGAATATGTCATAAAAATGTTTGAAGATAATTAGCCAAAAGCAAGTGACTCTTGTAGCTCTGAGTAGAATAAATGGAGTCTAATTTCTACTATTTCACCTCCTGCTTGCTGACCTCACTATCTATTTAATTTGCCTTAAAATATGGGTAGTTTACTTAAACTCATGTTTTGAATATACTTAATATTGCTGCAAGTTTATTAAATTGCAGACAATTACTTCACTATTTAACAATACAGATTTATGAACAACCTCCCTGGACTTGTCTGATTAACTTCAACCAAAGCTGATAATAACAAGTTGAAAACATCTGTGCTCTGAAAGCCATACCTGCGGTTTTCCCTAACAGCTGGCAAGAAACATGTGAATAGGGGAACTGTTTCTCTTCTCCTGCATACTTGAACTATAAAATTAAAGGAAAGCCTAAAAGCCTAACATCTTCTTTAATATTATCCAGTAACTCTTTTCTTTAGAGTTTAAAGTTTGTGAAACTGTAGGACAGCATGTGAAAGAGATGGAAGAAGTAGGAGGGAGCAAGACGAAATTCCTTAATAACCCTTAAAAATAGTGTGTGTGCTGGAAGAAGCTGACCCTGGATATTCAGCCTGTTCACTTGCCCCGCAGGCCAATTGCAGAGCATCTATCCCTTGGCACCATTGCCTGATCTGGCTGTTTTTAAACTATCTGACAGCTGTCTCAACTGACATTTGAATAAGATTTGCATTTCTATGAGGTTTTGGCTTGTGATTTGCATTTTCATGAGACAGCCACAGGCATTAAACCTCTTCAGAGAGGACTGCTGTGAAGGACTGTGCTGTGATGGCGTCTTATGCTCATCCAGACTAGACAACTCTTGCTTCTTTCTTTTTTTTCTTTTAAAGGTGGCATACAAGAAAAAGGTCAAGAAAGCGTTAAGTGGATTTATGAAGGTGAGTTGAGATGATTACTCAAATTTAAATTAGCAAGCTAAATTGCTGTCTTGCCTCTATATGGTTGTCTGGTTAGAAAATAAAGCTATTTTTAAAATTCAGTTTATGAAGTGAATAAGGATTAATTGATCCCCTTTACTAATGCCAATGTGTGCCAGGGGTGATTGCTTCTATATGCTTGTATTGCTACATTTTGCTGCAAAACATAAAATTACCAAATTGTACACAGTGATGCTGTCCTTGTACTAGTGATAAGATTGTTGATTTTTAGTTATGGGTAGTTTTTAGGTATGCAAAATTCCTGCCTTTCTCTGGCTCATTTCAGCATAAGGGTGCAAAAGTAGTATTTCAAATACTGCTATGGTTAGACGAGAAAAGGTGAAGTTTTGGAGCCTGGCTGAATAAAGTAAAGGCATTATATTGCAAGACTGGCATCTTGCTAACATGCAGAAGAATACATAGGCCACATAGAAATGGCAACAACTAAATTTTGTATGAAAGAAGGAAAAGCACAGAATAGCTCTTCAATGAAGAATTACTTTAGTCTTGAAATCTTATTAAAATTATGAACTCTGGCTTTGAAGAATCAACTGCAGATATTTTTTTTGTATTTGTGTATCATTGTGAGTGCATACTTACTGAGAAAACTCCTGGCTTATGTTGTCCAGAAGCCTGAGTTGTTTAGCAATTTCTGGCTTAGGATTTTTTGCAGTGTGGAGATATTAGTAGATTTGGGCGCACGTAGTGGTGCAAGCTTGTGGTGCTAGTTTGAATTTATTTTATTCCTTTAAATATTTTGTTTTGGATATTTTTTTACTGATTTGTTGAAAAAATCACCTTTAATTGTGTCATCCATTATCATATAAAGATAGAAATGGGTGAATTTTCTGAAACGTGTGACAGAGAGGTACTTATTACTAAATGGGTTACCTGCAGGAACTTAGGTTTAAACCAGAAAGCAGGCATGAAAGGCTCCATTAAGCACTTAAGATAAAAATACGTGTTAAAATTCAGTATGTTTTAACAGGGTTTTTATTTTAGACTCTCTTCATTCAACTACCTTTATCAGTTTCTATATCTCACTTAATGTTATTAAGAATAAACTATCCTGCTAATACAGCTGCCTACATGAATCTGTAGTGTCAGTTGTGTACACAACTGCTGCTGTAGTTAGTGTGGCTTTATTTGTAATACCACAGCAAATATTGTCAGCCATGTGCGTGGAATTGTTTTTCCAAGGTTATTTCCTAGTCTTCCCTTGCATACTGGAGAATAACTGTGCAGTAGATGAACTCTGGTTCTAGTGTGCTAGGAAACCAGGCTGGGGACATAGGAGTTGTTCTGCTGCATGCTATTACTTAAGACATAGTTGGAATAAGATGTTAACCAAATTCATGGAGGAATAGTTGTTACTTCACTTTTCACAGGACTGTTTGTTCATGAGCTTTTTTGTGTGTCTTGTGTTAATGCAAAAATAGATCCTTGTGTCCCGATTAAGAGAGCGAATCCAGTGAATTCTTTCAGATTAACTACTGTTAATTTACTGCAATGTATCTTTAAAATAACTTTGTGTTTGCCATGTTGAAGTAACAGAAGGAAGAAAAATGGAGACAGAGACCATTTCAAGTCTGAGACACCAACTGAAGGAAGCAGAGAATGAGCGCAGAAAGGCAGCGCAGTACGGGCTGCATTTGTTGGAGTCCCAAAGTGAAATTCAGAATCAGTTGGATGAAACACGGCGTGAATTGACTGAGAAAACTGAGGTGATGTTCTAAACTGAGTAAAAAATGCAGTGAGGAACTTTGTTTTAAGTATAGCTCTTTTCCATTTTAAATGCATTTTCGAGTCTAGATTAAATGCAATAAACCTTCCTAGTTTAAGTATTTGCACAGAGGGCTTTTTATCTCTGCTCTCTACCTTAAATATAAAACATGTACTAAGTGCTAACATTTTTTTCAGAGCATTTTTTTTGGGCATGTTTAGTAACTCATTCCTATTGTACTCACCCTGCAAGCTTTTTATTACTTAAGGCTGTACGAAGAATGCTAGGACAAAGACTAAAAGTGATTTGTTCTGTTGTGAAGCTTTCCAATTTTCTGAACACCAAGGGGTTCTGAATTTTTTTTACATTTCTTTACCTCTTGAAAAAAAGTAGTGTAGTGTTGAATCAGAGAGGTCATATTTAGCCAGTGTTCTTAGTAATTGTGCAAGAAAGTTCCAGTCAGGGAAGTATCTTCCACTTTTCATAAACAGTGGAGTGTTTCTTTGATTTTCGTCAGCCCATGCTTCAGATTGAGCATTTCTCTTCACTTAGTCTGTTTCTGGCTGTGCATCCGTTCCTTCTCTTGTGATAGAGCTAAAATGTTTGTGGTTTTGTTGTAGTTCTTCTTTTGTCTGTTTTTTTTTTTATCCAGTGGGAGAGTTCTGGCACCCTGCTATTCTGAATGAACCCTGATAGCTTCTCAAAATAAGTTTGTTGTTAGCTGAGTGCAGGCGAGGCAGCTGGAAAGCACAGGTGATAAGTAAGGCAGGGCAACATCACCCTTTTCTGCAGATAATCTGAGATGTTACCTTCTGTGTTGTGAAGCTGCACCTATAGGCTGTAACCTTGTTTTTAGGCTGGAGCAAAGTTATGAGTTAGGCTTGTGTGAAGCAGATCGATTAGGAACTTAAATTCCAAGAGTAGAGGGAAGGAACTGTGTGCTTCACACAGAATTAACAGCATGTGTGGGAACTGTGGTTATTCAACAGGTTCTTTAAAGCTTTTACATCTATTGTCTTTGGAATCTGAGAGCCAGAGCAATTACTGTGAAGATCAGTATAAGTTGTAACAGGAGGCACAAGAGTCTTTCAGAAAAAATCTATGTGCTTCTGTATAAGTCTGTGTAGGCAAAGCACCATAGTTTTTTGCTTCTCATGGCTCTGGTCAGCAGTGCACTCCCAAGCCTTTTCTGCTACCAAGACTCACCTTCTAATTTTTTTTTTTTGCTTCTCCTTAATTGCTAGCTGAGTGGAAAAGTAAAATGAAACTACCTTTAAAATTAGCAATCAAAATCAGGCATAGAGGGAAGATGATTTAAAAGTGATGCGTCTTCAACCTGAAGGGCTGATGGGATTTATTACATAATAGTTAACAATGTAGATGTCTTTAACAGACATTGAACCCAGCTGTTCTACAGTCAGGGAATGAACCCTTGATGGACTAACAGTTTTTAACATAGTGGGGTTCCATGATGGTAAAGGGACTGTGAGCTCCCCTTACACTTGCAGAAAAGATGACCACACCCTTCAAGTTTGGTGCAAAGAACTATACAGTTCCATGAAGAAGAGAATATTACAGTGCTTAATGAAGTCATAACATTTCAGAGGAGTGTGTTTTGGGGTTGCTTTGTTTTCTTTCTGTTGCTTGTTTTGGTTTGTTTGTTTTTTTTCTTAAAGGGGTATGACAATTTCCTAATTAGGCCTTCAACAAGGGGTTGAATGAGCTACAGGTTTTAGGAATTTAATGTCATGGTTTTGAGTCAGTGTTTAGTATGTTGTTCCCTAAGCGTTTATTAATATAACATCTAGATTTAGTAGTATGTTATTTCTTTCAGAAATTTGAACAAGATAAATACTCTCTTCAGAGAGAAATTGAACTTAAGAATCGAATGTTGGAAAGTTTGACTTTCGAATGTGACGCCCTAAAGCAACAGCAAAACGTGCAACTGGATAAACAGAAAGAACAGCTTGCTAGAGTCTATGGACAAGAAATCAGTGACCTTAAAAACAAGGTTTGGTGACTAGTATATAGTTAAAATGTTGCTAATGCCTTTTTAAAGAATACATATTTAACTCATAATTACCCAGTTACTACAAATGTAATAAATAGTTTTAATATGGGGGAGCTTCCTTGTTTGTTTTTTAGCAAACAACTGCATAGTTACGTTGTGAAATTCATTACATTTCAAAGCTTATTTTTAAAAGTTTACTCTTAAGTTGCATTTCTAACACATTTTCTGTAATTAGAACAGTCAAAATTATTATGCTTTTCAATAATTATAAAATGGTACTACTTATTTGTCAACTGTCTTTAAGCTGGAGAACCTGAAAGCAGAACTAGATGAAACCCGACTGTCGGAGAAACAATTAAGACACAAAGTGGATCATCAGAAGGAAATAATTGCTGCCAAATCAGAAGAACTGCATATGATGTCTGAACGTGTACATGAGACCATGTCTTCAGAAATGCTCAATCTTCAGATAGAACTCACTGAACTAGAAAGTGTGAAGGTGTGTGACTAGTCCTTAATTATTAGGAATGCTGGCTAGTTGAAGGTGAAGTTCTCCTTTTTTAATGCATTTCATTTGTACATATTTTCTGTATGTTGTTGCTGTGTGATTGGCTTGCTAGTAAGAAAATATGCACTGGAGAAAAATAACAGCTTTGGTAACTAGACTTTAATACAACTCTTCAAGTTGATAATTTGTAGTAAGAATAATTGCTACTAAGAAACCTGCTTGGCTCACATGCCTGTTCTAATTGTTTTATAAACCTTTTATTTCATACTTCTTTTTTTGTTTTGTTCAGGCCAGTGTTGAAGAAAAGCTGAATGAACTGCAGTGCAGTAAAGAACAACTAGAACTCATGAACAGTAACTTGCGTAATCAGGTGGAGCGTATACAGGGGGAAAAAGAAGAGAGGGAAAAAGAAGTTGTTTCTTACTGTAATGCATTAGAGGTATTGTCTTAATTTTATTCAAAATTGGTAGATAAATTCCATGAGTTGTGGTGCTAGCTTTTAAAGTGAAATCAGATGTTCTGAGAGAGGAGTTCAGGGAGGGAGAATAAGCAGAAAGGGGGGACAAAAACCAAACCAAAAAAACTGGCTTGTCATGTTTGGTGTTCCCTGTTGTTAATACTCTCTCCATTGTCCTTTTGTGGAAGGCTGTGTATGGAGATCCTTTGCTTTGCAGCACTCTGCCTCATAACAGGACCTTCTTGCAGGTCACTGATACAATTTTCATTTTTATTTCAAGTTGCTACTGAATGCCTTGGAAATTTTGTTACTGGGCAGTAGAGGATTTGTGACTACACAGCACAGTAAGGCCAGTGGTATAAATATCATTAATCCAATTGATATATATCAAAGTTTTCCTTTATACATTTTGTTTATGCTCTTTTTCTGAAGAGCAAGTGTAATACTAAGCCTTTCAGTAAAATGAAATTGATTCTGGCCAGAACTGTGTGTACAGTTAAGAGTACTGCAGTACAAGATAATCTGTGATAAGGGCATAGAATATGAAAAAGAGGTAACATTATCTGATTACATGAATATATGCAGTACATCGGATGCTGAAATGACTAATATCCTCTTTGCTTTAATCTAGAAAGCTCGTGAGGCTAATCAAGAGCTTCAGGTTCAGCTGGATCATGCAGTGCAGCAGTCTTTGGACCCTACAAGTAAAGGCAATTCTCTCTTTGCAGAGGTACAGTTATGCCACAGATACCTGAGAATATACAGAGGAGATACAAATTACTTCATAAGTATGATTTCTTATGTTGCATTGAAAATATTAGAGTATCGGTACCTGATCTGGCCAGTGTGAGTCTGTTCCTCAAATACTGCTTCAGTATTGAACTGTCAAGGAACTGGTATAAGGAAAACAATGTATATGTGTACTCTGAATTAGGGACTTAGTAAACTTAATGGAATAAGTCAATTAATTACCTGGCTGTCATGACAGAGGATGTGACTGAGGGTTCATCACAGTTCTTTCTGCAGCTCTTAGCTCCAAGTGGTTTTGTAAACCTTTGTTAATGCAGAAGATAGTATGAGAAATACTACAAGATTCTCTTAAATGGTGTCTTTTAAAAACATATTGAGATTTGCTGGATGTTTGAGCATCTCTGCAAAACTAATTTTTTAGTTGTTTTTTGAATAAGAATTCAAATGCTGTTAAATGCATAGGAAGTTTGTTTGCTGACAAGACCTAGGGAACTGATTTAATTGGTACACATTTTCTTATCTGTTCTGCTGTGAATGGACAAAACTGTTCTACAGCAACACTGAGACATGTCAAATTTAACTTCATTTTGGTACCAACGGAACAGAATAAAAATCTGTTGCTTTTCACTGACTGGGCTTCAGCTGCTGCAGCACTGTCTGACAGAGGTCATGACAACGGTGCTGTGGTTGGAAAAGCAGTATTTGCAGAACCAACATCAGTTTCTAGGTAACATCTCCTTGTAAAACTTGTAATCCAAGTGACAACAAGTGTTATAGTTTTCATAGTAATAACTGTTAACAATGTTCTGTAGGTGGAGGACCGTAGGGCAGAAATGGAACGACAACTGATCAGTATGAGAATAAAATATCAGTCACTACAAAAACAGCATGCATTCACTAGAGAACAATTGCAAAGAATGAAGGTATGACCATTACTGTAATACTCCAGGGTTTCCTTGGGGTTTGATAAGACAGTGCTTTAGTACACAGGCTAGGGGATTTGCTTATCTTTAAAATCTGATACAGTGGTCTGGGGGGAGGGATATTGTGCTATTTGACTTTTATGGTGCATCAGCATTTTCCTATTGCTATTAGTGCTACTACTGGAGTTCCCAGCTCTGCTGAAGGCACTGTGGTTGCTTATTGTGGCAGTGGTTGTTAAAGGGGTACAAGTACAACTTCCAACAATTAAACTAGCATTCGGTTTGTCTTGACAAGTGCTTTTTCTTTCTAGTTCTTGTACAACATGAATCATTTACTTGTCTATTTACCAACTGTGGTTGTCAGGAGTAAATGTCAAGAAGAGGGCTGACTTGTTCTCTGTCTTCTGATCACTCTGGGTTGCTTTCTTCTTTGACTGCATTTTTCTGGCTTCTCCGTCTTGACTGCAAGAAGAAGTCCTAACTTTGGTTGTAATTATTTCATTTATATTCCACTTCCGTAGGATGGGGTCCTGTTGGTTGATACTGTTGAGAACTAGTTAGCACAAGCTGATTTAAGAAATAAGGGAATGCTGCAAAACTGACCACCATTCTTATGCTGGTCTTCTGATTTGCCAGCACAAGGGTGGATCCTTGTGCATTGATCAAGTACTTGATCATGCTTTTGGAGGAGAGTGCTTAAACATGAAGAGCAGTGATAATGCAGAAAACTAAAGGATAGTTTTAGTCAGCCAGTGGGGCTTAAAATTTTGCCTCCCTTATGTCCTGTAGAAGCTATGAGGAGGGGATGGTTGACTTTTTACCTCTAGTTTGTGTACAATGTTTTACTTGACAAAGGAGATTCTGAAAGGTAAATGCTCTTCTCTTGCTTTATCTGTTATCCATATTGGCTAGACTGCTAAAAAAGCTACAGTTACCACTAACACCCTTTTAAGTCTTTCCAGTATTGCATTTTGTATTGATTCTCCAGGTGTTTAAAACCACTTAATTTATTAGGGCACTCATGATATCATGTTAACAGCATCATTATAATGCAAGGTTTTTCTTTGATAAACTTGTTTTGTAATGACAAAGGATGTTCCTTGGCTTGAATGGATGTCTTCCACTGAAGGAATAGAAGCAGCTAATATTCTTGGATTAAATACTATAGAAGATAAATTTAATTTTACCGGTATCTCAGAATCAGAACTGCAGAAGAAGAGTTTTAAAACTTGCTGGTGCACTGGAGTTTTTTTTCCAAGTGAGAATTTATGAATAGGATGCATTTTTAGCTCTGATAAACAAGCTGGCTGAAGTTTATGTCTAGCTGACTTGGTGTTTACAGTTTGAATGTGAAATGTTGCATATGTCCTTGACAGTATGTTTTTAGGTTCTTTATTCACTACAGAGAAAAATGTGATACTTCAGGGTTACTCTGTCCAGTAAATTTTCAGCTGTCCTAAAGATTTTTAGTTTCAACCTGTGATAACAGCGGTAAAGACTAGAGTTGAGGCATCTAGTGGGATTCTGTATTTGGGTTTATAATTACAAGGCTTGAATGCCCTAATTGATTGGGGTAAGAGGCTGAGATTTTCAGTCACTTAACCCAGTATTTGTTATAAGGACTTTTTTTTTTCCTTTATTCCAGCTGCAAATGGCTACACTGCTACAAATAAAAGGCTCTCAGGCAGAGTTTGAGCAGCTGGAACGCTTGCAGTCCATGCTAGAGCAAAAGAATGGTGAGATAGAAGATCTTCTTATGAAAGTGAGGCAGCTAGAAAAATTTAAGGTAAATGATCTGTAATTAAGTGTTTTCCACTCATAATAATGTAAAGTTAAAACACAAGATAAGAACGTTTTTGTAAACTCTGAAGTCCATGCTTAGGTCTGAAAAGGGATTCAAAGACTACTCATACCTTTATTTGACCAAAGTTCTCTTTTACAGCTGGAGAGCAAACTTTTGAAGTTTATAGAAGCAAAAAATCCTACACCTTCCAAGGTCCAGTGTGGCAAAACAATCTTTTCTGAGTTCCTGTGTGTAGCACCTTCATATTTTACAGTTACCTGTCAAGTTTAAATTCAGTTACTTGGTCAGAGTTGACTGAGCTATGACATTAGATTTTTCTCTCGGAAGACAGAACCATTTCTGAATTTTACTGTGTGTATTTAGGCTTTATAGCTTTGTAGTCTCTCAGCTGTATTGATTTTCTTGGATTTTTATTTCCTTAATATGTCTTAACTTTGCATTTGAAGCATGCTCTTTCCTAGAAAAACAACTGGTTAATCATACTTGTAAAGCAATTGCTTTAGTCCTTCTATGCAACTTAATAGTATCTTTTCAATAGTTTGGAAAGAGAGAAACACATGAGAGCACCTGCTGCCCTGTTGTAATCATACTGATGTTTGTGTTCATCCAGAGAGAAGCGGTGGCCTTTCTTACATGTGGATGTGACTGACCCTTTCTTATCACAGCCTTGGAATGTAGCAAGTCTGTGCTTGTTAAGATAGTGTCCTCTATTATGCATTTAACCCAATGTGAAGCTAGTGGCATAAAGCAAGGCCTATTTTAGTAAGCAACTGAGACAGCTTGATGGCTTGACTAGTTTTATCACGTATAAGCTCGATCAGTATTTGTATTTGTTTCTGTCTTGTAAGTAGTGTCAGGATGTGATATGATTTGATCCAAATAACCATCAGAAGTACTAGTAGTCAGTAACTGATGAAAGCCTATGAGACCTGTGGAACAGGGTTAAATCTGAGCCCTGCTTAGAGAAAGACCCAAATCCACCAGAATGTCATGTTACTTATTTTGGCTATTGATGAACATGGTTTGTATGTCTTAGCTTTGGAGTCTAGCTGTTGAAGCCTAGAAATAAAGGCTGAAACAAGTTCCTTGTGTGTTAACTAAATACCCTGTTTTTTCAAATGAAAATGAAGATAACCATTCTACAATGCAGTGTGGAAACTAGAAGTTGAGAACTTGGTATTTTATTTCTTTCAGTGAATGAGACAGAACTGTCAGTTTCAGTGCTATTTGACATCTGTAACAAACGAGGAAGTACTCTGAGCAACTGAGCTCTTAAGTGTCAATATCTCTATGATGAGGCTTCTTTGCAGGAATGCATGGAAAAACTCACCTGAGGTCTTAGCTCATGTCCTTCTGAAAGGTTGCTATTTGACAACATAGTTTTTCTTTGTCAGACTTTATATGAGAATACAGAAGAACTCAAAGCTAGTAGGAGCTCCCAAGAAGAGTCTGAAGATGGCTACTATGCAGATTTACTGCAAATGAAACTTGACAAGTCAAAGTAAGTACTTAATGATCTGAGGCCTACAAGTTGGTTGTACACTTACAGCTATGTGTTTCTATTCTCCGTTTTAGTTTTAGTTAGTTTGTATGTAGTCCTCTGTAAGTGCAAGTAGGCTCAATGTCTCTTTAGTGTGGAACCATTATTCGTTATTGGTCTGAGCAGTGTTTTGTTATTTTACTTACTGTTGCAAAAGAGAGCAGCTGAGCTACTTTATATTATTGTTATTAACATCAACAACCTGGTTTGAGTGACTGTATAATTTTCATTTTGCCCTAGCAAGGAAAATGAAACCTTGAAAAATGAACTATCCTTGCAGAGGATGAAAGCTCTGTATGAGAGCCAAAGGGTTCTGGAAGTTGAAAGGAAACTCTTCACAAATGAGAGGCATTTGCAAGCTTCTCAGAGTGAGAATATGAACTTGCGGGTTATGCTGGATGACCTAAAAATGAAATACGAACCTGAAGGTAACTACTAATATTTTCCACATGGAAAAGATCTGCTCTTCTCAACCTCCTGAAGTTGAATGATATGAAGCAGGAAGACATCTAGATAGTTCCAGATCTAAACTGATTAAATATCTGCTTTATTGATGATAATTTGGTCTAAAAGCAACTGAAATGAAATAGTAAAGCCCTGCCCTGCTTGAGCACCTTACTTAAGTATGTATGCAAATATTAAATTCAAAAGATGGAAGAGTACAAAATAGTGTTCAGGGGCTTCAGAATATAGATGGGTAACTGTAGTGAAGTAGGTGGGAACAAATTCTTAGGAGAGGATAAGAGATGCAAAGCATTTAGAGGAAAAACTGTTTCAGTAGCTCAAGTTAATATGGATCAAGTTTTCAAAAGAGAGCCCCCTGAAAAACAGCTGATACCTGGGTATGGGCAGAAATGGGGAGTTGTAGCCTTTGGAGAAAGATAAATAGGGAACTAGGTGGGTGAATGTGTTCTGGTTTGTCCATTTGTCCAAAGGATTGAATTTTAAAATCTTAGTTGTGGAAGCTTAACTCAGCAGCCTCCAAAATGGGAATAATATAATTGTGCATATCCATGTAGTTTAAAGCATCTCATTAAAAGTCTTGTTAAAAAGAGAGAGTGGGTGGAGAGAAAAATAACTTTTGCAAGCTGGCTTGTCTTAGGATGCTTACTTGCTGATAAAAGATTATATGAAAAGACTATCATTAAGGGATGTAGAAAGTCCATTAAGAATTATACCAAGGTCTTTAATAATGTGAAATGTTCTTTATTAGTTTTATTATTAACATATGGGTGGGCAAGTTAACTCCAGCTGCACTTGTGTACAAAAAGTAAATTCCTTTTCCCTAGAATTACTGAAAGGCACTCAAATTAAAAAGAAGAGGGAGAAGATTCCAGTCGACAGTACTTCCGAATGCTTGGACAGAAAAAATACTTCAGTAAAAGAAGCTGCTCTCTCTCAGTTACCAAGTAAGGAAGAAATAAAGATGACTTCCAATAACTTGGATCAAAGTGAAGCTTCTCCAAAAAAACATGCTCTTGAAGCACCATCATTAAATAGAGCTCTTCAAGCAATGCAAGAAGTAGTTCAACCTGAAAGAGAAAGGAAGAGAGTTACAATTAAAGATGAGACTCATGATGCCTTTCCTTCATGTAGCCAAAGTAGAAGTAATTTCTTGACTCCAGCTGCCCCCAGGTCAGTGTCAGCTTCTCTCTATGGTCAAGGCAATCAGCACAGACCTGCACCTCTTTTCTTCCGCTGCATGAACTATGCTATCCACTTCTTTATCTATTTCCTCAGTGTTGCATGCAGTGTAATTCCTCAGCTCCGACTGCCTACGTTGAACCTCTTAAAACCTTTTAGAAAGACTAAAATCATGACTAATGCAAGAGACTCTTGAAACTGTAACAATCTTTGATATACCTTTCCCATTACTTGAAAATGGTTCGGGGTGCTGGTAGCATGACAGTTCATTCTGTTTGCTCTCGCTTGAGGAACAGGACTGTTTTCTGAGTGTCTTCAAAGCTGCCACGCAACTGTTTAATTTCAAAGCAGCAAAGGCAATAGGTGGTATGCTTCAGCTGCATATATCATTCCAGCACTCATCAATTTTCAGATGAAACTAAAAGCCTAAAAGTAATGTAAGTAGTTCTTAACCTGAATTGGGTTAACAGAACTTTTCTCGTACAAGGCAACAGACAGTTATGCTATTTGTGTTGTCAGTAAACTGAATTCCATAATCTGAATGTATGGTCACTAAAGACACAACTGCTAAACCAAGATGAAGTTTTCCCTTTGAGAATTTAAGTTTCTTTTTGATAGATGGTAATTTAGTACAGTAATTAGTTTCACCTTTTTTATATTGGCAAAAGGAATGGTGACTTTTTTCCAGCTGATGCTTTTGTCTTTTGTTCATAATTTTAGTTAACACGTATTGGTGTATTTGGAGGTAGAAAAAACAAATATTTGAGAGAACCTAAATGTCTTGAGCTTACAACTTCCTAATGTCTGCTAGTAAAAATTGTTTATTGAATCTAGAATGATAGCAGCTTCAAAGACAGGAAGACCTTAAGTGGAAATCTGTACAGTATATCCACAATTAATGACATTCAGAAGTAATTGGATTGATGCTTTGACTCAAATAAAATATTCAGGGTTGCATTGAATGCAATTAACAGATAAAGTAACCAAACCACACAGTCTTCTGAAACAGTCTGAAAAGAAGATGACAGACAGGGCAGTTGAAGTAGCTGTGGCAAAATGTGCAGGGAATGTTGCTGAGGAGCATCAGAGATGTCAGACATGGGTGGTGAAAGTTGAGGGGAAAGGTAATTGAGTGATGGTGGTGAGTTTTGCCAGTGTTCTGTACACATCAAGGAATAGCGTGTAACCTGGGTGTGAAAAGTTTTTCTTGATGTTTGTTTTGGAAAGAAAGGTACAATGTCTGCCAACAGGAAGTTGTTAGAAACGGTTTATGTGAACTGAAGGTGGGTAAACCCGCCAGGGAGGGGGGAAGGAGAGGAAACAATTTTTCTGGGATGGATGTTTGAAAACAGCAGGTAAAAAAAGTGGAAGAAGATGAAGTCACAGTTCAGAGGGAAGGTTCTAATCTTGCACTAATCTTGTTGGTTCAAATAAGGAATAAAACATTAATCAGTAGATTCAAAAAAATGAAAACCACCAGCACAACAACAACGAAAGCCACAAAACTCCATATAAGCTTTAGAGTTGTTTTCAATGGTGGCGTGAACCTATAAAAGGCAAATCCAGGCAGAAGGTTCTGTTTAAGTTTTTGCTGGTGTTGATGAACTACTAAATTCCCAATTGATGATGATAAGATCATGTTGAGTATTTCTTTAACACTGATGTTTTATGAAATAGTTAGCTAGGTTAAAATCTGATTATTGGAGAGACTGAGTTTCTAAACATGAGGGGATTTTCTCTACTGTTCTGTGGCCAAACCCTGTGTAGGAATACAGCTAAACGCAGAAGCACAAAAAATATTAGTGACTTGAGCAGGAATTTTTTTTAGGAATGTGGACCTGAAAATAGCAAGTTTGGGAGAGGTAAAAAGTACTTGGCATGTGCATGGTGGATAATTATCAATCTTTCACCTTGTGTAAAATGTCATGCTCTGGCTGGAATGGATCCTGTGGTCATTTGGAGATGTTCTTGTAAATTGAGTAGTTTTTGTGCAAGAATGACTTGAGCTGTGTCAGTATTAATCCATGAAACATGACAGTGGTGAGATCCACAGTAATTGTGATTTCAGACTTGATTTCAGATTTGATTTCTAGAATGTGGTGTTAGAAAAGTTTTGCCAGCTTAGGAGTTGAAGATGAAGTGGTCAGAAGTGATCTATATGTGCTTGTATGGGTTTGAAGTTTTGCAACTGATTTTTGCAGGGTGAAGCTCAGTAACTAACAGCAGATGTACACATCTGCCGCAGGTGTGGATATGCTTCCGAAAGCTTATAACAAGGAAACATTGGCATACTTTATTAGATAATGGTACTGATTAGTTTATGGTATATGAGTGTTGGGAGCACAGTACTTGAGACTAAAGATTTAAATATTGATGTGATAGTTTTTAGTTAATTAGTAATGTAATTCAGGCAATGCAGGGGTGATAGGTAGCAACGTCTTCTGTCAGGCCAACTGCCCTATGAAAAGATACTTGTGTACTGAATTACTTTTCTTCCCTTCTGAAACTGAAATAGCTATTTCCAGTCCTTGCTGCTCAACTTAGTTTGCATTTGTTTGAAGTTGGTTTAGTTTGATCTGAGGAAGGGCTTGTATGCCCAAGAGTTTATTTGCTCTTTTAAATTATTTAACTGGATTACAAATGCCAAATCTACCTCATTTGGACTTCAGTCAAACAGGAACAGCAAATGCTTATAGCTGTTTGACTCAGCAGGAGATCTGGATAAAGTTTGACCCAAATCCCCTTGTAGTTGAACAAGTTTGTGGATTTTTAAGTGCAAGTGTTTAACTGTCCCTTTCTGATCCATCCATTTGCCTATGAGAACACTCGACAAATATGACACTGCTCTGAAGAGGTGGTCTGAGCTGGCTTGGTATAAGGACTCTGATGAGTTAAGCTTGGCTTGCTGCTGGATGCCCACTCAGCTGCTTTCACTCCCTGTCTTAGAATGGGGGGAACAAATTAAGTTGGAAAAGCCTTGTGGGTTCAGGTAAAGACAGGGATCAATTAGTCATGGGCAAAACTTACATGACTTGAGGAAGATAAATTCATAGCCAGTGAAAACTAGTGTTCAGTTTTGCTGGTTTAGTAACTTGCAAAAAAGGAAGGCCATACTTGAGGTGATGAAATGTGAATAGGACTGATTTAGAAATGCTATTTTTAATTTCATTTTGTACTTAAACATTGCTTGATCTGTCTTGGCATATCAGTGCTCTTGTGTGCCAGTTGGCTTGTTGATTTTGCTTGAAAATCTTATTTTAGCCCTGTTTATGTATTTAGAATGATTGCTTTGCCTATAGGTTAACAGCTGAATCCAGACTTGAAACTACGGAAAAAGAAGATAAGAAAGAAAATAAAATCACAACTGAGAAGAAAACACAAAAGAGAAAGTACACAACATTGTATGTATCTTCTAAGCCAACCTCTGAAACTCAATGTGCCCAGCAATAAGGCTTGCAGTTCTGGCAGGAACCTGAACGACTGGGAGTCCTCCTGCAGCGGAAAACACTGAGCAATTCCTAAGAAACACAGAGATGTACAGGTTCCTAACTTAGATACTGTTCTGCCTTGTTTTGAGAGTTGCACTTTTGATAACTTACCAGAGGACACCTGTTAAATTTCCTGACATTATGACCTGAAGTGTTGCCTTGTCCTGAATCCTGGCTAAGTCTCTAAACAAATGTTATTTGTTGGAAGGACAGTGTTAATGAATCTTAAGGAGATGTTCTTGCTACAGAAGTTTTATTCTAAGACCGGGGTGACCCCTTAGCAAGACAGACTACACAATGTTGATGCAGAACAATAAAAATAAAACTTTCTTTTGCTTTCTTTCTAAAATGTAGTCTATAATTGTATTTGAGAAAAATATTTGTCTAAATCTGTCAGATCTTTTGATAAGTGAAGTATCTTGAAGAAAGGGTTTTGTTTTAAAAAAAGTACCACTCAATAAAAGCTAAGAAATTGTAATGAATGTGCTGTGTGTCCTAGTGCTTTTGGAGACAAAGGTTAACTTCATACAGAATAATTCTGAGAAGAACATTTAAGCTAGATCCATAGAAATTTTTTTCAAATTGGTTATATGGAAGTTTAAGGTTACTTCATTTGACTTAGTACATTATGGTTTAAGCTCACTCTAGTGAATGGGTTAGCCACTGTCTTCAGTAAAAGGTAGGGTTAAAGATGCTTAAGACTTCCTTTAAATCCATTATGGAAAAAATACCTTGAGGAAGAATCTTACCACCCAGTGGGTTTTAGATTTGACAGCTTGATCTGCTGTATGTTAACTGCTATTGGTGCTTTGGAATCTAAGAATCCTAAGGTTCCTCCTGCCTTTAAATAATGCACCTTCAAGCTTGTGTCAGATAGTGCTAGACAGCACCAAAGGATACTACATGAAGAGAATGCTACATGTGTTCTAGCTTGCACTGTAGCAGTAATGCTGCTGCCATTTTCCCAGCACTTCTAGATAATGAACATACCTTAGAAATGCAGTATCTTGAGTTAAATCCTCTGCTGTGCATATAATGGCTGTTGTTGCGTGTTAGGGCAGGCAAAGACAATCTGTTCCATAAAATTCTGTAGGTAGACTTTGGAGGAACCTGCTGATTGTGTGCGCCTTTATCCATCTCTTGAAGGTACTTGGAAATGCTCGTTTAAAGTTGTTTCACTTCAGAAATTATGCTTCAAACTTTAACTGTGACTGCACATGAGGGTGGCTTTATCTCATCAGTTGCTTATCTTAAGTGTTGATTGACAACACAAGTGACTAAAGATGTGGCCAATCTAAATGAGCAGATGTGGCTTGTCACTTTCCAATGCAGGATGAACTCATTATTGTCCAGTTCTACAGTTAAATTTAGGCACAGGCTGGTGGCTGTTACCGCTACTGTTGAATAAAACAATCCTAATTCCATGTCTCATGGACTCTATTTGTGTAAATCTATGAAAGCCAAATCCTTTAGTCTCATGTTAATGAAGTAGACATAAACTGTGACATTTCTTGTTAACATGTAAAATAGTCCATGAGATTACAGGAAGCTAACATGTAATCATGAAATAGTTCTTGTTCAACTTTGCACATGGGAAGATGCAGAAATAATTGCAAGATTGAAATAAAAGATTGAAGAAATCGTGTTTCATGCTACCAAATCTGTGGTAAACTAAAGTTTAAGGTGTTTTTTCTACAGAAAGGTATAAACCTTCCATGTGCAACGACCAGAGACTAGCAGTTTGTTTGTCTTGTGATTGTTGGTTAAAATCAAGGACTGACATGTCATGTGTTAACAAAAAATCTGGACAGATACAGCAGAGCTCTGTTTAACAGTTTAGATAAATAATGATGGCCAAGTTGCAGTGTGACATCCAGAAGACAGCACTGTCATATGACTGGTGCTGAACAGATCAGGACAGTCAATCCTTTTAAAGCATTTTCTGTTATGTGTTTTGAAATTAAGTTTTTGGAGTGGAGCAGGAGGGCACTGGCATGGTCTTTCTCCTTTTTGCTTGCTTGTGTTACAGCCAGTAAGCATCAAGTAACAGAAACACCCAGTCTGGGATTCCCCTCCCCCATGACACTAGGGTACAATATTTCGAGTTGAGAAAGAGGAAGGAAGTTCAGAGCCCAGAACAGCAGCAAATCTCGCAGAACCCTCGCAGCTCCCCCAGCCTCCCTGCTTGTCCTTGGTGACAGCAGCTGGGAAGTAAATCGTGGGTACAGTGCCTTTGTTACTGATTTCCAGTCTGCATCCTATAAACCTTGACTTGCTTGGTGCTGGGCATCCTTTGGAGCAAGCTGGATTCATGTACGATGGCGAGATGGCACAAGACCGACAAGAAGACTGGCGTGGGTACGTAACTTTGTAAACTGCCATTTGAGTGTTGTCTTCACTTCTACTCAGGATGTGGGCAGGTATTCTCTGTAGTGTGGTGAGTTAACACTCTCTTCTTTACCATGGGGGCTTGATTGAAATGATCAACTTCGCACAAAGGTCCTAATATTTCAAACAATAAGAAGTACATGAACGTCAGCTTGGGAGATGTAACCCTGCCACACACCCGTCTCTCAAATCTTGAACTTGCAGTCAAGTGGCTTTTCCCCCTGCCTCTGTATTTTAGAAACAGATGGAGTAAGTAGTACCTTGCAAGAGAAGTAGCAGCTAGAAATGGGGAAAAAACAGGGGAAGGGGAATCCTACAGTTGCTTTTGAGAGACTGTCACTTCAGGTGAGTGTTACAGGAAAGATTATATGTGAGTTGGTAAGTAATACTTTTTGTAAGTAAAGTCGTCATCCATCATAGTTTTTTTGTTTTTAATATGAATGATGTTAACTTGCATAAAGAACTGAATTGTTCAAAACATGCCTTAAAAATAAGAAAAAAAAATTTTTTTGAAGTTAAATACAGTTTCTCAGAAGACAGTTAATCTTGTACTTGTGTTTCACTGGTTAGTGCATAGTTAGTTATTTATTTGGAGTCCAAAAAGTCTTCTAAAAGACGTTTTAAGTAAGGTTAATATTTTGTGATATGCATTAAAACCAAAACACTCCACCCAACTGGCTTCATGAAATAAAATGAATCATTAAGGAATTAAGAGGAAAAAAATGTCTTCCTGTTCAGCTTCCATGTGCAGCAGTTGGCAGAATTGTGAAATGGAAGCAGCCTATTCTGGTGGCAGTTTACATTACAAAATAAAGGGTGTAAATATTCTGTTTCAGTTTTACAAATAGAAAGAAATTCATTTTTTTCACTTGTTTTTCTGGAAGCTATTGATTTGGAAAAATATCACTGGATTTGTTTGTGGTCTCTGTATTGCTATGCTTGTCACAGATGTTATCTTGCACATGGGCAAAAGTACTAGATTAGTTATTCACGGGAATAATAGAAAATAAACTTAATTTGTAGCAGTTTTCTGTGGGAGCCATTTTTACGTCAGGATCAGTTTCGTGTAATTACAAAAAAGGTTTGGCTCTTCTTACACTACAGTTTTTAGCATTATGAGACCAAATGCCCTGGCTTGATGTTTGGTGTGATAGAGGCTAGTGATGTTTTTTGTTAATGCAGTAAACCAGCCTGCTGGGCCTGACCCTTGTCCCCCGAAAAGGCCCTCAGTTGTCATCTGTCACTTGTTCAAGTCTGCCATGCTTGTTACGGGGAAAATTTGCCAGGTTGTAACTTCATAGCCAAATACGTATACAAACGGAGTATACAAAAAGCTAGTGTGATATAGTAGTGTCTATGTTATTTGCAAGGTATGGCAAAACAGACAAGATTCAAGCTGTTTTCTGAGCTATATCACCTCATACACTCATGATGATCCAGTGAAGTTTGATTGTTCTCACAAAGACTGCAATGCATTTTGATAGAACAATTAACTGTTAAAATAACAAAATACAATATTCATAATACAGATTTTTGTACAGCATTGGTCTGATCTAAGATAATTTCAAAACAATAAGATTTTACTTGAATCAATATGAATTTTAGTGCATAAACCAAAAGCAAATAACAGAAAACAATTCCTGGCAGTATTTTAACACTGTTAAGTTTAAGCTGTCATAGAGACAACACAAATTCAGGAGTTTTAATACTCAGGGCTAGTTTTCTTCATCTGGCAGTGGGCTTGTGCTTCAGAGGCTGTCAGGTCTCACAACCATGGTGCTCATTTTAGAGCGAGTGTGTGTGCCCTGGAGGGCAGTGTCTGTGCCATCCCTGCTGTGCACAGAACCTGCTTCCTGACACCTGGCCTGATGGCAGCAGCTCTGCCCCTCTCACCCATCTCAATGATAAAACTGTCCTTCTCTCGTTATTTGGGTTAGTAACAGAGACTGGAATTCTTGAAAAAGTTTTATTAGCATAAGAAGTGTAATTGTGACAACTGCTCATGTGCTGAGAACATACTGGATTACTGATGTTAGTCACTTCACTCAATGCTCCACAATCATCTTGTGGATGGGGAGTCTGGAGATTTGGCAAGTTTCCAGGTACCAACACACTGACCTGTAAATGATGGGCTAGGGATTAGAACTAACTGAAAGACTAACTTGCTTTTGTATAAGCATTTAGGACATGATTGCAGTTTTGTGTCAGGAAGAGTGAAGGCGAGGGTGTGGGAAACAAAAGTTTTTAATTTTTTTAATTTGCCAATTTTTAAAATTCATTTTCTGCTGTAAAGAGATGAGTTTGAAATTTGCTCAGACCTTTAGGAAGTTATCACATTTGTGAAAAAAAATAAGAGCTAGTGAAGTATTAAATTCATTAGAATTGTTAGATTTATTCCTGCACGGCTGAATCTGAAAATGGGTATTGCTTGATTTGAGTCACAAGGTGCCAGGAGGAAAGGGGACTGGGTGACAACTTGCAACTGTAGAAGAGCATATGCTCAGCCAGAGTGCAAAAGGCTGTGACTGGCTTGTCATGTCTTCACCTGCTGAAAATCCCCCAAAATTGTATTTATATCTGTGAGAAATCCATAGATTGAGTTGTAAAGGAGGCAGAGCTTTATTCAGAGGAGACTGCTTACTTGAAATGCAGCCCCTGAGTCCCACAGAGGTGCTGCTTGGGAAAGAACAGCAGTTTGAGAAGTGTATGAAAAAAAAACAACAAACCTCTCTATCCATAATCTTTCATGAAAAGGAAAAATCACAGGTAAATATTTTGTTCTTCGTAATGACTTCTGAGAAAAACCACCAAGCTACTATTTTCTATGAAAAGGTAAAGTGTCAGAAACAATATCTCCATAGAATGAGTTGACTATGTTAGATCTTCCTGGTTCTTATCCTGGCTTTACTGTGTTTAAGAAGAAAAGTAGCTGAAGTCAGTTAAAGCCTCCATCTGACCCCGAGGTTCAGCATCTGAAGAAATCTATTGAATCGTTACCTGAGAACAGAAGTTACCCTTTGCTGAGAAGGATTTGTGATAAAATAGCATCTAACCTACCTGGAGCTTTGGTACATGCCTGTGATCTGCAAACTACTCATTCAAGCTGCATTTATCTTCTGTGCATTATAGCACACTTGGTCTGTGAGATTTAAGGAGTGATCCTTAACTCAGAGCATTGAAACACAAATTCAATAGCGTTCATTCCAGAAGTCAAGAAATCCTGTCAGGATCACATGTCATTTTCACACAGAGTTTGTCCGTGTCCTTGCAGAGTTATTTCACCGTTTTCATTGGAAGAAAAGTAGTCACTGAATGCAGAGAATTGATCTGTAGGGAATTTTTTTGTACATTACTATGCAGAGAAGCTGAGCTGTAATATTTAAAAAATAAACTGCAACAAAATTCTTGCTGAGGCTATGAATGAGAAATCTTTCAAATACAAAACACTTCACAAGCTATTGCACAGAAATCATTACAGATAGTCTTTCTGTGATGGTGAAGTGAAGAAGGGCTGGCTCAGCAAAGCAATACTTGCAATATTTTTCAAATTCTGTTCAAGTGGAATGGTGGAAAGTAGCCAAGGAAACCACGAGTGGCTTTTTACTAAAAGGTGAGTCTCAAAAATGAAAATACAATAGTTGTGTTTGCTACAAAGAACAGAGCAGGGACTTCACATCAAGGGAAACAAAAAAAGACTGGTAGGAAGATCAGGATAACGAATGGCTTCAGAGTTGCAGGTATTGTCCTTGCTCACTATTCCCGCCTTGCTTTAGCTACAGTCTAAGCATGTGACTGGCCAGAATCCCTTTTTAAAGTACATGAGCACTGAGGAAACACAGCTTTTTGATGAAGCAATTCTGTGACCTAGATTATTCTTGAGTTTTCTAGAGTTTTGTATGTGACTGTTCCCAAAAAAGGAACAAAGTGAGGTTTTTTTCTGCTCAACATCATCTAAATTGAGGACAACTACAATTATAAAATACTAACTGTGCTTCTATTCCGATCAGTAGTTGTTTGAATTTCTGTTTTAACAAATGTTATTCAGATCAAAAAGCGACTGTTTCATTTACACTGTCTTGTCAGGAGAAATGTCCTCTACAGGTTTTCATTGCTGTACTTTGGAGAACATGTCCACATCTCTGTGACTTAATGAAACAGGCTTCATAACCATGCTTACATATATACAACAGGTGAGGGGACTGTGCATGTTGTATCTGCCAGCTCTGGCCTTTATAGATATGTAGCAATTTAATGGAAACAGACATTTTCTTCAGTCTTCATACTAATTTTTTTTTTTCTACTGGGATGGACACTGGCAGTCAGCTTCACCTATGCTTGGGGTGGCTGACTGAGCGAGTGATAGCAGAGTTAGACACTGGAGCTCCTTAGAGTAACTGTTTTCACAGCATGCATTGGTTGGCTGAGCAAGTAAGGATTCTTTGGGCATACTTCACAGGAATGATGGGAATCATTCCATCTTCCTGAGGTACTATTCAAAACCCAGTTGTGACTGAGCAGAGTTCAGTTTGGAAAACCTTTTGCATTAGCAGTTTCACCTGTTGTGTTGGGGTTTTTTTGGGGGGTGTTGCTTTCTGAAGCAATGTTGCTGTTGTGGTGGCCTGGCTTTCAGCTCATTGCTTGAGGGAGCTGAAACAAACACCTAGAATCTAAGTGGGTTTTCCATTGTTTTGTTTGTTTTCTGTGTGTCCTGCTACAAAATAACCACTGAGGTTACTGTGAGCCTTAAAAAGATCTTAGTCTTTGCTGATCGGGGAAAATTTGCTAGCTGTGTTCTCAATTAAGTGTGAAGTCCAGGAATGCTGTCTTAAGGCTGGAGCTTCTGGGATTTCTCTGTGCCATTCTGGGAAAATCTGACAGCATCTGTGTGCAGATTCACCATTGATGGGAAGGCCTTATCCTGGTGCTGGCTGCTGGGGAGGGCAGATGCTGCCCAAATCTCTTACTAATCTTATTGCCATGACATCAGTTACTCTTGAGGTCAGTAGCTGCTATTGGGGTTTAGAATGAATGCTGAGGTCTTCAAGCAGGCCACCTTCTGTGCCTTAAGGATACTATCTCTTTTTGCAATTATGGCTGGGAGAAAGGATGCCAGGGAGTGGAGTGGTAGAAAGTGATTGGAGTGATTTGAAGGGGCTTTCCCTTCTATTGGCCAGAGAGTTTATTTTAAAAAAAAATCAACCACAATTTTTGTATACTTTAAAAACCCCTGTAAGTCCATATGGATTTTTCTCATACCGTTTTTGAAGAGCAAAATTAATGAAGTGGCTGTGTACACAAAACTGCAGATACACACACAGCTGAACAGAGGGTGGAGGAAAGGGAACTCCCCACTTGGCTGGTGACACCCTCCATGTAAGACGGACATAGTCTGTAAGGGAAATGAGATCAGCTACAGTTGATGGAAAACCTAGTAGTCAAATCTTCATTAATATTTAATAGTTATAACATTAGCAGATGTGATAGTTCAGTTGTCTGGGACTGCAGATAATACATGTGGATGGGTGGAGCTGATATTTGGTTTCTTGATTATTTATAAAGCTTTTTGCAATGGTATATGGGAGATAAGTTCCTATCATAATATGTCGTGATAGGTCTCTAGCTTAACACTTTGCAAAGGAATTTGTTAAACTCACCCTAGTAAACAATCCAAATTTCACCTTAAAAAAATTTCCACTCACTCATTTAGAAAAGTCTTATAGCTAATACAGCTACTTCCTTTGTCAGTTTGTTACTGCACATGTCAATATATTGATTGTTGTTAAATGGAGTTCTTAAGAGAGCAAACCCAATATGCAATGTGAATATATAACTCAGGAATTCACATCCGTATTTGAGACAAATACAACTGTAAGTAGAGCATGCCATATTTTGAAATAGAACGTATTTGCTAGTCAACAGTAATTCAATCTGTATGGATATTTCATAAAAGTAGTGGGAGCAAACATACACCCCTGCCCCAAACACTCTAGTGGAAACAGCTCTTGAAATGTCATGATAATCTGGGAGGGTTGTTGGCCATTTTCTGTGTCTTGAAACCTATGTCAAAACTAATGAAAGGAAGCCAGTCAGAACATAACTGCATCTCTACTATATGCATTTACTGCTTAAATTCCATCTTTTGTTGAGCTAAGGCAGCTCTCTGAGGATCACTGAGGAATCTCTTCAAGATTCTCTTCAATAAATGGCTGAATCTGGACAGCAGAGCCTCACTTCAAAGTTCTGTGTTGTTTTTTCTGTTGTCTTTTTTTCTTCCCCCTGATTTTTAATGATTCAATCCTTGCTCTACCCAGGAGGAGGAACTTCTGGGAAGGCCTCTTCATGTCAACAAACCCAGAACTTATTTTTGGTCCAATAAGTCTCTTAATTAAATCTAAAGTTTCTTCTAATTTAAGTTCTGAAAATATAATGGTGGCAAAAGAAAGAAGGAACACAATTTATGGAAGACTTGAAAAAGTGAAGAGGACCAGTCTCATTAGCTGTAGACTCCCACTTTAGGCATATTTATGACAGACAATTTAATTTGAGACTTTAAATACAATTTCAAGTAACATGTTAAAGTAAAATGTGTCAGTAATAGACATTTTGGTCTAGGACAAATGTATATCCTGCTTTAGAAGCTTGGAGAGGGGAGCAAAAGAAATGCAGGCATATACTGAAGATAGGTTCAGCCTTCCAGATCAGTTTTACCCTAGTCCAGAATACTGCAAGTTTGGATGCTGTGTATGTGTGGATGGATTGGGACAGTGCCATGAGAAAAGGAAGAAAACCCTGCTGACTGATATCTTTACTGCACGGCAGGGGTCATGGCTAGTAGTAGCTAGTGCACTGTTCCTACTTTTAGAGTTTAATTGTAGTTTCAGGCTCATATTTTAATCTGTTTTCTTTTGTGATACTACCTTCAATAACCACTTCTACTCTATAATGCTGTTGTAAAAGTTTAGAATCAAGGAAAAGAACACCCAGAAACAAATGCTTACCATAGCAGCCCACATCCTGTAGCCCTAGAATGTAAGAACTCATCAAGAAGCTTATTTTCTTGAATTGTTTCTGAAACTTAGCTGTTTCTTAACCACATGTAGATAAGCTTCTGATGAGAATACTTAAAATGTGCTGCTCCTGTGTTCTCTTCAGTGTGATTAAATACAGAAAATTACAGAACTTGCTACTCTTTCCATATGAAATGGTTTCATGTTAAGATGAAGCATCTAAGCCCAAGAAATAATTCAGTTATTTTGGTTTTCATGTGTTTCTGTGTCCCTTCTCACAAGCATAGCCATAATTTTCTGTCAACTCTGCACTTAAATTCTTAGTGAAACCAGTGCATGAACAATTCTCTAGCGCAATGAACACGAACTTATTGAAGACCTGCACCTACTTAGGTAATTTTAAATCCTGTGCAGAGGACTTATTACGAAGAGTTTGTTTTCATGCATATGCTCTGGGGTTTTTTTCTGGTTTTAGCGCTGGCCATTTTCAACACTTTTGTGTTTTCACAGCAGAAGGGATTAAATCAGATGGAGCTTCTTGACAGAATTACGCTTCTGTTTTTTCCATTTTAATGTATTTAGATTAGTACCAGAATCTTAGTAACCATGTGTTTTTCAGTTTAACTGTAGTGTATAGCTGTATTGAAAAGCAGTGGCTTTTTCCTTTAATTTTTCAGCTATATACAATTTCAAAGGCATAGGAACACCACAACTGCCTCTACAGATTGGTGATGTGGTCCATATCTTGGAATCCTGTGAAGGTAAGTCAGTTGCCTTCAGGCTGTTGTGTGAATAAGTTAACTAACTCTTGTACTTCTCAACAGTTCCTCATGTTACAGAAGTAGTTGTCTAATGCTCTTATTTGTACTGGTGGTATTTTGAGTAAGAACCTATTCATTTTTGAAGACACAAAATCAGGAATGTGACAGCACATGCGTTTTTTTTTCTGGGAAGACATTACCAAATGAGGAAGTCATCAAAGTGAAAGTCGAGTCTGTGAATTTTATGCCACTTGGAATATACCTGTTGGAAGTTAGATTAGATTTGATCAAGGTTTTGCTGGAGTACATTTTTTGCCTCTAAACTCAAGATTTGTTGCTAGGAGACATTCACCACCCTAGTCAATATGCTGATCCAAACTTATGTAGCTGGCATGTGGGGATATCCAACCAACAAGGGTAAAATAAATACAAGCAGTGAAGAATAAAGGAAAGTAAAACCTTGTACAACTGTGGAGCTGAATTAATTGTTGATACTGTGGCAATAGTGTGTTCCTCCATGTTGATTTGATCTGGACCTTCACAATCTCACTGAGTTCTCTCCCAAGTCTGCCAGAGCTACTTAAGTTGAAAGTGACAAGGGTGCAATTGTTATTACTAACTCAACAGTTGGGTATTTGCAAATGTCATAGGACTTGATTTGCAAGCTGCAGTGATGTTTTTCACCAGGTAAGGACTTAAAAAAATTAAGTGCTTCAATATTTGTAAAACATATGATAAAATTTTCTTTTTGAACCTTCTTCTGTCTGTTAAAGAGAGAGGCCAAGTGCTGCATTACACAGCTACAGAGACAGCTCAGTGTTGACAGACACTTGGTGTGTTGTCAGAAGGCTGCAAAGATTCTGAAGCTGAGCCCAGCCTATTCTACCTGATAGAGCTCTAGGTTGTTTTGCATGGAAACAACCAAGTACTTGAGAAAAGAACATCTGAGAAATGTTTTGGAGCCTAGAAGCATATTTTTTTGTTCTTATATTTCTAAGAGAAATTCAATATTTGTAAGCATCAGAGAAAATACTGACGTCAGTATACTCTTAGTCAACAAGGGCATGTCAAGTCATGAGTAATTTTTTGTGTCCTCTCCTAAAAAATGAAAGTTCTGCATAATTCTTTAAGCTTCAGTTCTAAACACTTTGGCTAAGAAAAATTATATTGGCAATCTGGAAACCTCCTGCTAATTGCAGAAACAGCATTTCAGGTTTCTGACTCCTGTGGTACATCTGTTGTCAACCAGTCTAGTAAGTTGAGTGGGTACTTATGGGCTTATTTTTTTAATATGAAAATATTTTCTGAATCCTCTGCCCTTAACATGCTTATGTCATAGCTTGCTTTATGAAATACATTTCTCAATGAAATGGAATCTTTCATAATGTTGAAGTGAGGAAGTTAACCTTTTATCAGATCTCTTAAAAATATGCTGCCAGCTGCAGCTGCAGAGTAACCAACAGTAACAGGTTTTTTCCTGCAGTCATTTTATGTGCTATTTTAGTTTGTTTTGCATGCACAAAATATATACACAGACTATACATGTACAGTCAGAGCAAATGGGATGAAATAGGTTTTATACATTTGGTTGTAAATGGGAGACTCTGTGCAAATAAATCTGTGGTAGAAGTTGAAACTCCTGTTTTGAACTTCACACTAGGAAGCTACTAGTCCAAAAGCTGTAATTCCCCATGGCAGAAAGATGGCTTGTTTTCTCGAATGTAAGTTGGATATATAACAACCATGTACTGTGGTGCTGATTAATACCACAGTCAGTAGAGCTGCATGGGCAGTGTCATCAGCTATCTGGTTGAGACAGAGGTGCATGTGTTACATATTAGGTTACAGAATAGCTTATCCTGCCTTTTTTTTTTGTGACTGTGGGGGTGTATCTGTACTTACTGTGTAAGACATCAAAGTAGAACATATCATTGTATTTGCTAAATATGCTTCCTGATATTCACTTTACTTTCATCTGTTGTTTGTTGTTGTTTTTTTTTAAGTAACTTAAATATCTTATGCTAGCTAGTTCTTATATGAAACAAGCCCCATTACTTTATTACATGCCTTTTTAATGCATAATTTCAGTCATACTAAGTGCACTCTTTCTTCTTTTAGATTGGTACAAGGGTTATCTAGTAAGACGTAAAGGATCAGAGGTGAGATCATGCTTTTCATTCTTATGAGACTCTTTCAGAAGTCAACCCATGAAATGTTTTTTCTTTTTTAGTAGCTCTTATCAGATAGTCTTATTATGATCTCTGAAGTTAGCTGTGTCCATTTTCTTTCATTTATTAGCATTTGTCCTGGGCATTGTTGGCAAATATTAGATGTGAGGACTGGGAGAGCAGATCAATGAAGAAAAAATAATTGTCCCTTCAGGTTGACAGACTGACACATACAAGTTTTGTTATATCTTTTTGACATCCAATTGACATCATCAAACAGAAATGCATCCAGCTGGACAGAAAACTACATAGGCAGCAGTAAATTTAGAGATTGTAATTTGTGTTTAATTATAGTTTCTTTAAGAAAACTTAGAAGAAGCAGGTTTTGGAAAGCTCTTATTTGTTACTTAAATGTTCTTGGATACCAAGAGTTGACTGTGGGGTTTTTTTTTTCCTTCAACAGGGAATATTTCCTAAATCTTTCATCCACATCAAGGAAGTTACTATTGAAAAGAAAAGGTATTGTATTTAACTGTTTCATTACTATAAGGATCTTGTCTGCTAAAGAATGAGTTTTAAGGCATTTTTATGCCTTAAACAGTAACTATAATAAGCCCATGAAACTCACATTTTCATTGTGTTAATTTTTCTTCTCTTTAGACATACAGAAAATATAATACCTGCTGAAATTCCTTTAGTTCAAGAAGTTACTACTACTCTCTGGGAATGGGGAAGCATCTGGAAACAGCTTTATGTGGTATGATGTTTCTGTATGCTCTGTGTGGCCTATTAATGCATATCAAGGCCTTGTTAAAATTAGTGTCTCTTCTTAGGTCCAGGGTAGGATCCGGAAGGACTTAAATTATGTCATGATCACTGCTTAGATGATTACCATGCTCTCAGTGGCTGTAAGCCTTTAGTTTCAGCCTTGAGTATCCTCTACATTATAAATTGTTTGTGATTGTTCTTTGTCAAGTTGACAAGTTTCAAGGTAGGAGTATCTAACATAACTAAGATGCATTTGGAAAACTTTCACCATATTCTTGGGATGCTAGAGCAGAAGTTGTTCAAGGATGACTAGGAGCATGTAGCTGTTATCAGGTGGTCATTTCAAGAAGTGAGTCTTCTTACTTTCAATATCTTAATTTTAAATTTCTGAAATGGGTAAGAAAAACTTTTTTCCTGGGAGCACTTTTGCTAATAGGTGAAAGTGCAAAGAATTTGGAGGTGTTGGTCAAAATAGCTACTACATCAGCATCTGTTTCTTGTAAGCAAGCAACCTGTAGTCATATTTTGCATATGGTTGTAATGCCCATGGGGTAGTATAGAACTGTGAAGTGCCTTGTGATTTTTCAAAATTATCTTTTAATTTTAATTGGACTGAAATTTGCAGGCCTCAAATAATCTTTATACAGAGATCAAACCTGTCCTACTACAAGACTGAGAAAATTGAGATAAAATTGAATTTGAAAGGTAGAAGTCTAATTTTTACCTTTGTATAATCATAGACATTTTGGATGTTGTTACCCTATATCAACCCCTACTGATTCTGATGGCTTGTTCATGATTTTTTGGCTGTCAGACTTAAAGTGTACTGGTAAAACACCAAAATATGGTGAATTCTCTAGTATCTGAGCAACTTCTTCTAATGGACAACTTGTTCCAACAATTTGCCCTGACTGCTTCAGAATTCCAGCATTTGCTTTTTCTCTGCTGGGGCAAAGAAGTCCTGTATAACATGTAGCTTTTCCTCATTAATATATTTTCTGAAACATGCCACTTCTTAATCTTCCTCTTCTGAAAGTTAGCTATCAAAACTTTCCTTTTTTCAGCAAAAGACACAGGAATGGCTTTAGTGTCTTCTATTCACTCTCTCACTTTTCTCTTAAGTGTTTAATACACTTAATCAGAATCAAATCAGAATCAAATATTCTTCTGAGCATGCTCTTACCAGTATCTGATAGAGAGGTAAATTGCTACCATAATGTTTTCTCTGGACAAGACTTTACGAACAAATTGTAGAACAGCACCAGTAAATAGAACAAAAACAAAATTCCTGATCCCAGCACAAACTGCTTACATTTAATGTCATTTCTTCATAGTCACATGAGGGGGTTTCTGACCCTAATTTTTTGGATAAGAGAAGGAAGGAAGCCAGGCTCAGTACTTTGCTTAATTCTTGCTCCTGCAATCATTTAGCATTAAATATGACACATCCTTTAATTGTGAAGATGGACATTTCACATCAACTTGAAGCCTAAATCCTGTTGTTTTCTTTTGTATCTCAGACAAATAAGAAAGATAGGTTCCAGCAGGTGCAGTCCATGATGTATGACTTAATGGAGTGGAGGTCACAGCTTCTCTCTGGGACTTTGCCAAAAGATGAGCTCAAAGAACTCAAACAGAAAGTCACTTCCAAAATTGACTATGGTAACAAGTAAGTAGCCTATGTTGCTTCTGGAAAACATGATTTATTTTAAGACACCTAGCTAGGACAGAGATGATGATGCAGTTGTCCTGTTTGCGGTTTTATAACTCAGTGTGAGATGTAGGCATTGAATTTTTCTTTTCAAGCTTCTCCCTGCTATTCCTGTGAACAGCAAACACCATGTTGAGTCTTCTCATAGCAAATAGCTTTTCCAAAATATTAATGTATTTGTTCATTATAGATAAATGAGCATGTCAGTTGTACAGATTTCAGATTATATGACTGGCCTTCACATAGATACAGTGTTAGTCTATTCGGGACCTAAAACTTGTCCTTCCTTCACACACACAGCCTGCCTCTAGTAGTGTTGTGTATCCACTGCAACAGTGGTGCTGAGAAACCTTAGTATGGTGGATGAATAGCAAGTGTCTGAGAATGCTGAAGTGTACACAGCCTTTGCTAAAGGAACCACATCACCTTCAGGGCCCTGCCCTAATTTCCTAGGGAATTTCCAGGCAGAACTCTGGTTCTGGTGATAAAGTGAAACTGCCAGGGATAGACTCATCATTGGACAAAATGCCTTGTCTGCTTCTTTTCTTGCTAATGAGAAGTCACTGCAGCACAGCACGTTGTTGGCAAAAAGGGATTTACATGGCATCAATGATGTTCCATCATCTGATAAAGGGGGAGAGAGTACCTGATAAAAAAATCTTCCTACTACTGGTTTTATAGGCATTTGAACTGTTTATAAACTGTATTTAGCTATTGTAAGTGACTGTGGTTATTGTGGTCTGACGGTCTATATGCAGCTGACATTCTTCAGTTACTTGTGGCTAGACAAAAACACAGATTTATGTTATGTTGTATTCTTAAAGAACACACTATACGAATACACATATGCTGCTGCACATGTGGAGCTGAGCAGTCACTCCAAGACAGATTCTACTTTGAACTGTTCCAACACAATAAGCCTACCTCTCATTAAGACAACACTAATGGTTTTTGCTTTCAGACTTCTGTTTTCATAATCTTCTTTCCACAGTATGAGAAAATAAGCTTCTTCTTTTAGAGGAGCAGGGATAGAGGGGATATTTCAAGTGGTTTGGGATTGTCTTGAGGTCAAGTGCAAGTTGGATGGTGGAAGTGTGGGGTTGAGTTGTAATGTGTGAAGGAAACTTGCCAAACTGTAGAGGAGGAGTAAAAGAGGAACTATAACAGAGGCTGAACGGGTCATTGTGGGAAAGGAGATAGAACACCAAATCAGTAGAGGTTGTAGATAATCATGTCAGGTGAAGACAGCTTACAGTCTGATACAGACCCCTGCAAACAACATTAACATTGCCATAAAGGAAGCCAGTGCAATTTACACATGGTTAAAGGTCCAGTCCAGCACAAAGACCAATTTTAGAGTGGGATGGAGGATTAAGATCTTGGATAGGCAAGAAAGGGTGTCTCTTGGCTGAGATGATTCCATGACACTGTGGGCAAGAATATGTCAGGTATATGGAGGTAAGACTTGAGTTTTGAGCATTGAGAAAAAAAGAGCAGATGGAAAAAAGGCATGATTTGTATGAGAGCAAAGGAGAACAGAGCATAGTAGTTAAGTAACAGGACTGGGAGAGTAACAGAACAAGACAAAAGCAGAACGTGACAGGAAAAACCCACACATCTTGATTTAAAAGGTTAATATGTTAAAAAGCAGAAGAAGATGATGACTGCTTGAAATCACTGAACATGGTGAATCTTTCGTGTGTCAGGCTTTGAAACGCTTTGGTGACAAAACTATACGTTTTTAAAATGGAAAAATACTGCACAACAGCTTAAAATATGGTGACGTGTAGTTAAACTTCTCAAAAATCAAACACTGTTGCCTGTATTTAAAATTTCCTGAAAACTTGAAGTAGCAACTTGTTTCTTAAATTTCTAAGCTTTATTTTTGTAGAAGGAAATAACACTGCCACTATTCTCTGTTTTCACAGAATACTTGAATTGGATCTAATAGTTAGAGATGAAGATGGAAATATCTTGGACCCAGATAAAACCAGTGTCATCAGTCTATTTCATGCACATGAGGAAGCGACAAATAAAGTCACTGAGCGAATCAAGGAAGAAATGGTAGGAAAGAAAGACTGGCCAGACTTAGTGCTTCTTTGCTAAAATCAAAACAAAAAAAAACAATACAAGGGTTGAAGGAGGTAACCTTGTTAACCTGTCATAAAATTTGGTGGAAACTTTTGCCATTAAGTGAATTTGATTCATATTCCTGTGTTATAAATAAAGCTAAGCCTCAAACTGAGTTAGTTGCAACTGTGCCCTGGATTCAGGCTGTGGGCTAGGCTGAAAGCCTGCATCTGAAGCTGCTTCTAAATCCATCTGTGGACTCCTAAACAGAAATATATCTCTATTCCATCTGTAGGCTACTCACTGGGCCATTTTGCATAGTGAATTGTTACACACTTGGAATTCAGGCTGCAAGTTATGACCAACCAAAGCTCTTTTTAGAAAAATCTGGTGACTGCGCTAGTCTTTTGCTCTGTGTTGCTGCTTGCTAGTTAGTCTGATGGAGCCAAAGAATTTAAACTTGTAAAGAGGAACTCAGGTGAGCTCAGCATAATGTTGTGGAGACCAGAAATAAGCATGCCCAAGTGAAGCTGAGTGCATAAATATGATCCTTTAAAATACAAAAGCAGGTGACTACACTTCCTTGACTTTTTTCTATATTAAATCTGTTCAGGGACTTGTAAGCTACTTGAGTTCTTTTCTTCATTCATGAGAAAGTAGTGATAAAGCAAGTAACACACTTGACATAAAAAAAGGTGAGCTGTTATGACAATTGAATTATGCCATGATAAATCACTGGAAAGCACCTTATGAGTTTTTCTTATCAGTATCACTAAATAAGCTTGCTTCCCAGACGTGAAAGTATAAATAACTTAGTAGCTTGCAACAGACTGTGTTCAATTGTTTCAAAAATACAGCCAAATGCAACTGCTTGTAGTATCCCATTTCATGGGTCTAGCTCATGATTTTACTCCTTCTGAGTAGTCAAAGGATCAACCAGATTATGCATCGTACTCCCGGATGTCTTCATCTCCCACACACAGCCTGTATGTCTTCGTGCGGAACTTCGTGTGTCGAATTGGAGAGGATGCAGAACTCTTCATGTCACTGTATGATCCACAGAAATTAACTGTTATAAGGTAAGTTTTCTTTCTTGGCTAAACAGTAGCAAAGGGAGCTAGTAAAACAGTTGTAAAAACAGTAAAATAGTTGCCAACATGCTAGTAATGTTGAGAATATATAAATAAAAGGAAGAAAACAAAAAGGGAAGGGGAATGTGAACAGATTTGTTTGTTGGGGGATACAAAAAATTTTAGGTCAAGGGATACCAAGTATTTTGATAGGTAATTCCTGGACTAAATGTACTGAAAGGAGAAGCCTGAGACAGCTTCAAAGTTAAGACATCATTCTTGATGAGTAGTTTCCCACAGGCATGTTGTGGTATCTGGAGTAAAGTGCTGAAACAAGAGGAAAAGCACAAACTGGGAGTAACTTAGAGATTCAAATATGGATTATTATTCTGGTCAGTGGTCCTTTCAAACACACTAGTGATGGAATGCTTTCTCCAAAGAAGGTGCTATTCTGCCATATGTTCAAGTAATTTTTTAAGACTTACTGATGGCATTTTATATAGCATTCTTCTTGTTTTTTAGTCTGGTATTAGATTTGAACAATTGCCACAGATTGTCTGTTATGCAACCTTTGTTATGTAATGTGTTTTTTTTAAGAATTGTAAAATCACATAACATAAGATATTTATCTTCAAAAGATGAAAAAGGAAGCAGAAGTCATCTTAGAGCAAGATGAGCAGATCTTACATGCTTTAAGACAGTAACAATGCTTCAGTATCTTTTCTTCAGATGAATACACTGCCTCACAAGTTTACTGATGTCTTCTTATATATCTGCTGTACCTCTTGATTGATACTATTTTCTCTGTCTTGCCTTATATTTTCTTCAAACTTTAAACTCTTAGGTTTTTTTTGTCCTTTGTGGGCTCAGGAGTTTTTGTTGTTTGGGTTGTTTCTTTTGATGGTTTTTCTCCCATTGATTATTGAGGCTCAATTTATTACTGGAGGTCTCTTTGAATTTGCATAACTTGATTCTTCCCCCAGTAATATTTTAATTCTTTTTTGTTTGTGTTCTAGGATCTTGGAAACAAGGACCTTAGCAGAGACAAAATTTATTTAGTTTGTCAAATAGTCCGAGTTGGAAGGATGGATCTCAGAGATAGTAACTCCAAGAAATACACACAGGGACTAAGGCGGCCCTTTGGAGTGGCAGGTAACTGATGACTCTTTTGCTATCTCTGAAGCAAGACACCAGTGATATTTGCCAGCTCTGGACTGGAATCTCTACGAATACGTGTCAGAAAACTAAGTAGCTGTATCAGCTCTCTTCCATGTTTAGCTGAAGTCCATAAATCCTGCACCTGAATTAGCATTTTAGTTCAGGTCAGAAATGTGCTTGAAATTTAGTTTCCTAATAATTCATACTGCTACACAGTGCAAACCAAAACACAGTGCAAGAGTGCAATAGAATTCCTTGCAGATGAAATAAAGGATTCTGTCCCCAAAGCATCACCAGTGCACTCATACGTGTATTAGAATGATGAGACCAAAACTAGTCTGAAGTAGTCCTCCCTTTACACATCATGTGTCTAGAGGGAACTCTGCACTCAATGTTCTGCCCCACAAATCTACACCTACTGGGCTACACTGCCTGCTGGTGAAAACCTCTTTATACCATGAGGCACAAGAGCTTTAGTGCCCATAATTCATAAGGGGAAATATTTTGTGATGCTATTATGTTTTGATGATTTCTTTTACTTTTCTAGTTATGGATATTACAGATATCATAAAAGGAAAAGCAGAAAGTGATGAAGAAAAACAGCACTTCATTCCCTTTCATCCGTAAGATACTCACAATATCTTTTGTTTCTAAATGCACAAAAATGTTTCTGTATTTCTTTGGCTGTAAGAATGAGTGAAATGTTTCAAGAAAAAGTATCTTTTCCTTTTAATAATTTTATGTTGTAATAGTGCTAATTATTTGAGTATCCCTTTGAAAGGCATTTAAAACTTGACAAGGGTTACATAGCATGTGAAATCAATGTCTATTTCTACAATTGTGCTCCTTCAGACATGTGGTACCATGTTCTACTTAACAAAATCCAAGTTAAATAGTTCTACATACTCAATACTAGGCTTGGTAATTATGGGTAACTGGTATTTTGTCTGCTTGATTATGTTATGAAGTTCAGAAAAGTCTGAGTAAAAAATTTGTTTCAGTTTAAAAAGGAGTTGAATATGTTATAAATGAAGTATTGGCAAAAGAAAAGCCTGACCAGCTGCCTAAAAATGAGATGCTGACAGTTAAAATGTACAGGTGACATTGACTGGGAACATGTTTCTGCACACTGCATAGCACCGCTGCTGTGTACTGTGGAGAAGAAATTTCAATTCTAAAGACCCAGGTGTGACACACTGACTTATTACTTCATTTGTTCACAATTTGATCCAATACATGTGTTAGGTGAGAATTTTTACAATTTCAAAAGTAGCTGAAAAAAAGTCAACTCATTCATTTGTCAAGCTATTTATCATGGAAAGTGGACTGGACTGGCATGTTGGTGAATGCATTCATGCTGTGCATTCCTACAACATTATAAGCTTTCCTATTGTCAGTCTGTCACAGAATGCTGCTCCTGAAGTCGTTGATTTAATCGTTCTCACTTCACTGTACAAGAGCTTAGAATGAGTGGTCTGCAAATCTGAGTGATAAGGGGCATGTAGTGATTAGGACAACAGGTAACGGCTTTAAACTGGAAGAGGAAGATTTAGAGTAGGCATTAGGAAGAAATTGTTTAGTGGGAGGGTGGTGAGACAGCAGGACAGGCTGCCCCACCCCTTGAAGTGCTCAAGGGCAGGCTGGAGCAGCCTGATCTAGTGGGAAGTGTCCCTGCCTAAGCACAGGGTGTTTGAAACTAGATGATATTTAAAGTCCCTTCCAACCCAAACCATTTCTTGATTGTATGATAAAGAAATTACAGAATGTATCCTTGTAAGATCAAGTAAAGCAAAGAGGATTGTGGCTGTTTGTACTTTGTGTTCTCAATGCTGTTTGTATCTTGCACTTACTTCCTAGTAAACATTATTTTCTCTCCTGCAGGGTAGTGGCAGAGAATGATTTTTTACACAGTCTCCTAAGCAAAGTCACTGCATCAAAAGGAGACAGTGGTGGACAAGGTAAAGCAGATTATTTATTTATTTATTTATTTTAAAGTAACAAGACCTTATTGTGGAACTTAATTTAGTATTGTTGATGTTTTTGAGAAAGGCTTTTATGTTAGAGCTGTAGCAACACTACGGAGGTGGGTCAACTTTGTAGCTGGAAGTGACGAATCATGAGTTGGCTGTTTAAAATAGTAACTTCACTTATGGAGCTTTCACTTTCAGCTGAAGGAAGTGGGGAAAGAGAATTGCTATCACTGTTTTGGCGTGGAGAAGAAGAATCATGTGAAAAAAGTTTTTTCTTCCTTGCCAGAAATGTAATTTTTTATTCTCTCTTATTAGGTCTCTGGGTAACTGTGAAAATGCTCGTTGGAGATGTGATTCAAACAAGGAAAGACTACCCACATCTTGTAGATAGAACCACAGTTGTGGCTAGAAAGCTAGGATTTCCTGAAATAATCATGCCAGGTAAGAGGTGCCTTGGTCTGTAATAGGCAGGGATATTTTTCATTCCCTAGGTAATGAGCATCAGCTGCAGTCTTATTTACTTCTGTCATGGGTAACTAAGAGGCTCTTTAGAATTCAGTCTTCATGGTAATTTTTGTTCCAATGTTAGAGGATTATATAAAATGGTGAAATCCTTGTATTTTCTAGTACTTAAGTAGAAAAAAAAAAAAAAAAATCTAGACAGTGAGGGATAATCCCAGATCCTGGTATCTATCTTTCTTTCCTTCAAAATAGATGATGTTGGATGCTTACTTTAATTTTAAATTAACCTTATTTCTTTATTACAACTTGCCACTGTCCTTTAATAATAATAACAAACATAAGAGTTAAAAATACCTTGATGGGGTTTTTTTGTTGTTTTGTTGGGTTTTTTTTGTTTTGTTTTGTTTTTATTTATGGCAAGATGTGTTCCAGTTAAAGTCACTCACTGCAGTACTTCCTTTTTAAAAACGAACCCCTTTAACCCCCAAACCCTTTGATTAAAATCTCGACACTACCACTTTTGAAAGAAGTCACTAACTGTTCACAGGAGAAAATAAAAACATGAAGCTCCCTCTAGAGAGAGTTATGCATTAGGAAAAAATTCAGTAATTGCATCATTTGCCACCTCACCAGCAGGTGCCAGTGCAGGACGAGAATTGCTCCCAGTCCCTCTGAGGGCTCCCATTCGGTTCGTTTCACATCGGTGTAGGATCTCCTTATCTAAGAATAATAGATGTGGAAATTTAAGTTCAGATGGAAAATAAGACATTTTTGTGTTTCACTGCAGAAAAGGTACTCTTCTGGAGTTCAATTGACCTTGTGTTTTCACAGTGTTTTCATTGATTTTTAATCTTTCCATTTCTTTATTAGGAGATATAAGAAATGACATTTATATTACATTGCTGTATGGAGATTTTGATAAATACAACAAAACAACTCAGAGAAACGTGGAAGTGATAATGTGTGTCTGTGATGAAGAAGGAAAAGCGATGCCAGTAAGTTATCTTTATTCTGTATGATGGGCATAGAAACATGAGTTACATGATAGAAGAAACCTTTAAACTTCTTATGAGTTTTTATAAAATACCACTGTGCAGATCTTGCAGTTCCCTCACTTGTGTCAGTTTGTGACAGTTAAGTTTTATGATCTTTAAAGTTACATACCTGTTAAAGTCCTGTAAATGTCTTGCATAAAACTGTAATGAGAAATAACACTGAACGACCTATTTTAGCTGTGCCAAGGAACAAATGCTGATTCTGACAAGTACTGCATTCTTTCTCTAGAGTTTTTCTTGTGGAAATTCCCAGAGGAATGCAATTTGCACATTAAAATGCTAGAAGTACCATTTCTGCTACAAAACAAACCCTTGACTTGGGCCAGGAAGACAGTGTCTTCCCTTGAATGAAGTACATGGCCAGTAACTAAGTGGCAACAGAGAAGTGTGGACAATATAGCAGGAAAAATAAATGTTTAGTGTCTTTTTGTGTGTCTGTTGCCCTTTTCAGGTATTTTTGTTATCCTTTTTAGCCCAGTTTAGTGTTCAGGGAGATTTTTTGCCTTTCCTTTCCTGAGCTCTATACTGTTCACTAAACCAGTACTGTGATCATGAGAGTGAAATAGTGATGACACATCGTGAGATAAAAAAAAAGCTGCATTGACTCATTGTGGTTCGTGACTTCCTGAAGTATGTTTACAAACTACAATTAACTTTGAAGCTTGAATGAAGAAAATACTAAACTCACATAACAAATTCAACTCTGATTACAAAACACTACCTGTTAATATGAAAACACCTAACCACACGACAGCTGTCAGGTCTGTTGTGGAATAACACTAGCAGCTTCTATTCGGTCTGTTCACAGATAATATGCTCAAAATAGAATCATAGAATGGTTGAGGTTGGAAGGGACCTTAACGATCATCAGGTCCCAACCTCGCTAGTATGAGCAGGGACACCTCCCACCAGACCAGGCTGCAACAAGCCTTGCACAACCTGGCCTTGACCACCTCCAGGGAGGGGGCAGCCACAACCTCCCTGGGCAACCTGTTCCAAAACCTTACTGCCTTCATGGTGAAGAATTTCCTCCTGATGTCTAACCTAAATCTACCTTCTTTTAATATAAAACCATTACCTCTTGTTCTATCACTGCACTCCCTGGTGAAAAGCCCTTCCCCATTGGCCTATAGGCCCCTTCAGGCACTGAAAAGTGCTCTGAGGTCTCCCTCATATCGGGTTCTATATGCTCAAATCATGCCTGCCCCATGAAATGGTATTTTTTTCAGTATTTCTAATTACCTGTGAGTCAAAACTGTCCCAAGTTTATTAAAGAGAAAACTGGTTGACTCTCTTTAAGTATCAAACTAATTTCATTTCAAGAGCTAGCACTAGATTTACTGTTAGAAGTAAAATGCCTTTTGTTTGAACGGAATGTCAAAAATTACATTAAAACAAGTATTAGTGCACAGACCTTGACAGATCTCCATTCAGGCAGATGAAACAATCATCAACTGCAACCCATGAGGAAAGGTGGTTGTAGGCCAAGTCTTCACAGATGGGCTAAAATAACTGAAGTTCCCAGGTTGCAACGAATTTCGAACTTGTTCAAAATTTTGTGCACTAGTTCTGAAAGTCATTAGAAAACATGAAATGCTAAATGTTGAAGGAAAAAAAAAATAATGAAGGAGAACATGCTGTCAGTGCCTCTATAATGTTTAGTTTGTAAGTCACCTCTGGTTGGCAGCCAAACCCTTCTAAGGTTGTTCTGGAATAAGGTGTTTTAAAGTAAATGGAGCAACACTGTTTTTACTTTGGTTCTTGTACTAATAGAGATGATGCCTTGGTTATTTAAGCTTTTCAGTTTGAGAAATTAATCCTGTCTATGTTAATTGCCTAGCTCTTCTTAGAAGCTGCCATTTAACCCCTGTCAGCTGCAATTCATGGCTAGGTCAAGTATGAGGAGGTTGGGTGTTTTTTGTTGGAGTGAACAGGCCTGGAAAAAGCAGCGTCTTCATATTAACGCTCCTTCTGTGCTAGTACTTCTATCAGTATTGAATTTTCAAGGATGCTGTATCCAAATTCAAACCTACCTGCTGCAGACAGGTCTTGCTGCTGCGTGACAGACGCTG